GTAATGGACCACACACACTCTTTTCAAACTTTTGTCATTTATTTGTGCTTTCCTCTGAACCGTCACAACATTTCGGTGCTTAATGGTGTGTCCTTCTATCTCTCTCCAGTGATAAGATGTTCCCCGCCTTTGGATTCGGAGCGCTTATACCACCTGACTTCAAGGTAGGACGCTGGACAAAAGTGATGTGCTGTGTAGAGTGAAGCCTTTCCTCCATAATAAAAAAGAATTAAACGTCCTAAAACAAATTCAGATTTTCATCAGTGTAGCCTTTAAGTCTTTGTGGTGAAAACAGATTATTGATTTAACTTTTTATCTGATTTGTCCATTGTATTTATATAGAGATGTTTGGAAATCATATTGATTCTATTTATTCTAATCTCCCCAAACATTCATGTCATCCTCAAATTCAGAAATAAAAATGCAGAATCAAAAAAGAACGAGTTTAAAACAGCATTTGAAGTATCCGTGTCCTGGTGGTGAAATGTGATGTATTTGGTTTGGTCGAGGTCATTGTTCTGAGTCTGATCAGTTTGTGAAGGGATTAATCGGCTCTTAACTAACCTTTGTTTAATGCAGCATCAGAGTGCGGTCTGTCTCTGTTGCATCAAGCTGTGACATCAGGATGTGCCGGCACCGGTCAGTGCCGTCTGCCGCCCCAGTGGAGATGTAATATTTACTTTAGAGGCAGAGTATTTGCTCTCGATCTGCAGGAAAGAAGAATGCAGCCGTGGACCGTGTTTTGATTGGTTGGCCTCCCAGTGTAGTGAAAGAACTGTGTTTTCTTTGTGTCTCACCTGAAGGTGTCCCACGACTTTGCTGTGAACTTCGATGAGGACAACCCTGAATGTGCTGGTAAGATCCCACGTGGACACTGGCCTGAAGACACCTCAGAAGACACACATTCATAATTAAAAAGGACTAAGAGAGCCGTACAGTAGCACCGGCGGTCACGTCTCCTTCCTTCCTCACTATCACTCCCATACCTCTGCTTCTGTCCTCACACCGTGTGTATTCCTTCCTCCTTCTACAATACACCCCGGCATACACACACGTACACACACACACACACGTACACTGGTGTACACAGACAAATGCAGCTGGGAGTTTTTTTTGTCACTATGCTGCAGGAAGTATTTCTGGCCCTGGAACAGAGAGGAAAACAACACTAATCTGTATGTGTGAAATGGCCTTCTGTGCTTCTCTCCACACATCGCCGTGGATCTGCTGTCGAGCCGCGCGTCTACTCCGGCTCTGTATCTGTGCGCAGAAACACAGCGGAATGCTTTTTGAAAAATGCCCCGTCACCTCAGAGTGCAATTACACGCGCCCAATCTGATTTACTTTAGCGGATACTTTTGTGAGTACAAGATCTCTGACTCTGCCGGGTCGGCGCTGTGTAATGTGCTGTTAAGCAGACTGGGAGACGAGTGAACAAAGTGAAAGTCAGCCTGTTAATGTGTGTTGCAGGGATCCAGGGTGTGGTGGAGGCCTATCAGAACTGCCTCCCCAAGATCCAGCTGTACGGACCCACAAACATCGCCCCCATCATCCAGAAGGTGGCCTCGTCGGCCTCTGAGGAGATGCACACCAAAGAGGCCATGGTGAGACAGAGAGGATGAAAGAAAAGAAACATATGAAAAGAATGTCTGAAGAGTTTTCTTTTTTTTTTTTGTTATGTTAACTGTTTGCACTCTTCCATGGAGCGACGACGACACAAAAAGAAACAGGTGGTGGGAGACAAAAGAAGAGAAAAGGGAGTGAAGTGAGGAGGGGGAAGTGATTGATATTCATTTTATTCCATTATAACTTCTAGAGCACAAATTCCTCCCAGCCTTAATGCTTCCCTCCTCTTCCCGGCTCTCCAGTGGATTAGAATGAGTTTTATTCAAATTAGTCTCTAACAAGAAGTCACTTTAAAAACATTACATTTATTGAACTTTTATTTCCTCCTCGCCCACGTTCGCTCCTCGTCCACCCACAAATTCCCTGCCCTCCCGTGTCTCCCCTCCCCTTTCTTCTCCCCCTGTACACATAGGAATATTTCATCCTACTGATCCTGACAGACGGCGTCATCACCGACATGGCCGACACGCGGGAGGCCATCGTGCACGCCTCTCACCTGCCCATGTCCGTCATCATCGTTGGCGTCGGCAACGCAGACTTCACAGACATGCAGATCCTAGACGGAGACGACGGGATCCTGAGGTCACCCAAGGGCGAGCCCGTTCTCCGGGACATTGTCCAGTTTGTCCCCTTCAAGGATTTCAAACACGTGGGTGGAAGTGGAAATGTCCTAGAAAATGTTGAATTAAAAAAGTAAAAATGTAGTCAGTAGCAACTACGAACTTCACAGTGTTCTTGACTTTCTATTAGGAAGCATAGAAACGTCATATCCTGTTGCCGTTCACCACTTCATGTTCAACGATTAATCCTAACTACAACATTTATTACACATAACTTTTCTAAAATAATTGCCTCCATGACAAAAACTAAGAATTAGTGAGTGCTCTAGAAAGCAATTACTACTTCAGTTTTTATTTTGTTTCTGTTTTCATATTTCAACAGTTAGTTGAGTAGAATTTAGTCCTGATCTCTGATGTAAGATCCGGGCAAAGATTATGCATTTGTTGATCACAGGAAGTGTTGCATTCGGGGAGTGACAAGTGTGAACGTGTGGGCGTAATATGTTTGAAGAAGTTGATTTCCAACAGACGGAGAAAAAAACCCAAGCTGGAGAGAAGTAGCAGTAGAATGATTCAGGAATGCTTATAGAGAAACAAACAGGAATAGGAGGAAGTAAAGACTGAATCTGGAGGGACGGAGTGGGAGGGAGGAGGAAGAACACCTCCACGCCGTTGCTGCTGCTGCAGGGAAGTCAACGGGAGACCGCGGCTAAAGCAAAAAGGAGGCCATGGTGAGACAGAGAGGATGAAAGAAAAGAAACATATGAAAAGAATGTCTGAAGAGTTTTCTTTTTTTTTTTTTTGTTATGTTAACTGTTTGCACTCTTCCATGGAGCGACGACGACACAAAAAGAAACAGGTGGTGGGAGACAAAAGAAGAGAAAAGGGAGTGAAGTGAGGAGGGGGAAGTGATTGATATTCATTTTATTCCATTATAACTTCTAGAGCACAAATTCCTCCCAGCCTTAATGCTTCCCTCCTCTTCCCGGCTCTCCAGTGGATTAGAATGAGTTTTATTCAAATTAGTCTCTAACAAGAAGTCACTTTAAAAACATTACATTTATTGAACTTTTATTTCCTCCTCGCCCACGTTCGCTCCTCGTCCACCCACAAATTCCCTGCCCTCCCGTGTCTCCCCTCCCCTTTCTTCTCCCCCTGTACACATAGGAATATTTCATCCTACTGATCCTGACAGACGGCGTCATCACCGACATGGCCGACACGCGGGAGGCCATCGTGCACGCCTCTCACCTGCCCATGTCCGTCATCATCGTTGGCGTCGGCAACGCAGACTTCACAGACATGCAGATCCTAGACGGAGACGACGGGATCCTGAGGTCACCCAAGGGCGAGCCCGTTCTCCGGGACATTGTCCAGTTTGTCCCCTTCAAGGATTTCAAACACGTGGGTGGAAGTGGAAATGTCCTAGAAAATCCTAGAAAATGTTGAATTAAAAAAGTAAAAATGTAGTCAGTAGCAACTACGAACTTCACAGTGTTCTTGACTTTCTATTAGGAAGCATAGAAACGTCATATCCTGTTGCCGTTCACCACTTCATGTTCAACGATTAATCCTAACTACAACATTTATTACACATAACTTTTCTAAAATAATTGCCTCCATGACAAAAACTAAGAATTAGTGAGTGCTCTAGAAAGCAATTACTACTTCAGTTTTTATTTTGTTTCTGTTTTCATATTTCAACAGTTAGTTGAGTAGAATTTAGTCCTGATCTCTGATGTAAGATCCGGGCAAAGATTATGCATTTGTTGATCACAGGAAGTGTTGCATTCGGGGAGTGACAAGTGTGAACGTGTGGGCGTAATATGTTTGAAGAAGTTGATTTCCAACAGACGGAGAAAAAAACCCAAGCTGGAGAGAAGTAGCAGTAGAATGATTCAGGAATGCTTATAGAGAAACAAACAGGAATAGGAGGAAGTAAAGACTGAATCTGGAGGGACGGAGTGGGAGGGAGGAGGAAGAACACCTCCACGCCGTTGCTGCTGCTGCAGGGAAGTCAACGGGAGACCGCGGCTAAAG